AAATGCATGGGTTAAAGAGTTAAAATATTGTGAAATACTCACCTCTGCTGTTTCACTCTCCAAGCAGGTGCGTATAGGACTGCACCATTGGATAACTGAAGGGGGGGAGGTTGATCTGATGTATGGTGTTTCTATATATTAGGTTTGATTATTTGGTTGGGTTGAATTGAAATATTTGTTTTCTGTATTTATTGGTAAAAGTATTTCTTGATTAGCTGTTCGTTTAAAACAAAATTTCCTTTTCTTCTTGTTATTGTGAAGCTGAACATCCTTTTAAAAATGGTTTCTTCCAATTTAGTTCCTCCTCTATATAAGAAACATGTCTGTGATTGTTGTGGTTTGGTTGATGTCCTGCACCAGAAAAAATTTTTAAGTTTTGTTAGCTGAAACCTCTTCCCCCCAGGGGGATCAAATAAAAGGCATTAAGCACTTTTCAGGTGTTTGTTGTTAGAGTAAATTTTAAAGCTACAGTACGGTAACCTTTCCACATTTTGTCACATTACAGCCATAAACAAATATAATTAATTTGAATATTATGTGAGAGACTACCACAAACTGTGATATAGTTGTTTAGTAGAACAAAAAGTAAACATGATTTAAACATTTTTTGACAAATAAAAAAGCTGAAGACTGTGGTATAGTTCTGTTAATACAGAACTATAGCTGCTCTGTGACAGACTCATATGTTGGTTAAGAGAATACTAGGGGGAAAACAGCTTAATATAGTCCAAGGAAAGCACCAGACAAGTCAGGGATAAGGTTGTGGAAAAGTTTAAAGCGGACTTAAGCTATTAAAAGGTTTAGTTAACTTTTAACATTTTACAGAGCACTGTTCAATCAATCATCTGGGAAGCTGAAAGAGTATGGCTCAGCTGTAAATCCACCAATACAAGGCTGTCCACCTTAGGTTAGTGGCTGAACTGGGAGAGAACTGATCAGAAATGCAGCCATGAGGCCCCTGGTCACTCTGGGTAAACTGCAGAGATCCACTTCTCAAGGGGACTCTTGTCTACAGGACAACACATTCACATGCACTGCACTAATCTGGTCTATATGAGAGAAATACACAAACAAAGCCATTGTAAAAAAAAAAAAAGTGATTATAGAAGTCCCATTTGCAGTTTTAAAGGAAGTCATGTTGAGGTAACTTCATCCACAGCAAACCTGTGGATAAAGGTACTTTGGTCAGAGAAGAACAGGATTTAGCTTTTTGGCAAAAAATGCAAAATGCTATGTGTGGAGGCAAACCAATACCACACTTCAGCCTAAACACACCATAATCCAGTCAAAATCTCAAAAGACAACGTGTTGGATTCTACAAAAGACTTGTAACTGGGTTGGAGGTTTACCTCTAGGAAGAATCAGCTCTGAGGAAGTCAGAGCTGATTTTTTTTTTTGCTTACATAATTGAAACTTAGACTTGGACCGATTTATTTTGTCATTTTGTATACACGAGTGTATACAAAAGGACATTTAGATTAAAACAGCTCTAGACAATTTCACTTTTTGAAGTACAGCCTTGAAAACAGTAATAGATAAAAAAAAAAAAAGTAATTGGAAGTTGAGATGAAGGAGCATGACTATCTGTTGACAACCTGCAAAGAGATGGGGCTTTGCTTCCTTTTCATGGTAAATCAAATTGTTTCAAAAACTAATATAATGATAATTCTACAGGGGTTTATTGTTTTTTTTCGCTTACTTTTTCAAAGCCTGTAGACGTTTGTTGAGGACCATTACTAAAATAACTAAAAGACCAAAATACACACCAGTCGGTTCATAAATAAGGTTGTGAGGTTTTACGTTCTTTTAGGATAGATGATAACCACAACTCTGAACATCTCACAAAACTGAAAAAAGTAGGGCCAAAGGGCAAACTGTGAAGATAATAATATGAGAAGCATCTTACAGGCTCATACCACATCTAGATGAGTTCCAGAGAACTGGAACTAGAGTAAAAGTATCTGATCTAAGGAATAACTTTAGTACTCCATAGTAAGACTCGTTTAAAGTTTACCACAATCCATGCACAAGACACCGCAAATATGGAATTAGATGCCTTGGTCAGATGAAACAAAAACCAAGCCTTTTAGTCTACATGTAAATGGCCGTGTGTTTCAGATAACTAATACTGCACCCAAAACATGACACCCAGTAGCTTGCTCTTGGTATAGTTTTCTTCAGCTCTCAGTGGGACCTTTTGAAGACTATCAAAATATCTAATGCTATCTATAGGGTAATGTTTTAATAATACGTGAAAAAGAAAATTAAAGATATGTATGTTGTTGTGAATTGCATTCTTTCTGATACATAATTTAGGTCTTTTTTTTTTATAAGATTCTTTTAATAAAACTCAAGGAATGTTCTATATATACACAAGACAGACATCTCCTCCTTAAGCTAAGTCACTATCTCATCAAGCCTGCCTGTGCCAGTGCGTGACTTTGCAATCTTACAACATTAAATAACAGGAAGCTGAGTAAATGAGTGGTTTGTGTAAAATAGACAAACACCATTTACAGTCTAAACCAGCATGCTTTTGGATAAAACATACTTTGAGGGCAATAAACATCAGGAAATAAAACAGATCACAGAAAATTCACCTCAGGGTTACAAACTCTTTAGTGATGAAAGTCCTCTTAGTTTAGGCTACACTAACATGTAGGACTACAAAATTAAAGCTAATTTGATTTTTCTTTCTTCTTTATTTACTAAACATTTAAGTTTACAACAGTATAAGGCTGTTTCTCATATGAATTCTTTTTTATGTTATTGAATAAAACTATTCACATACATTGTTACTAAATTAGAGGTCCTTTAGACACAATTCTATAATGCATCTTTAAACAATTTTACATAAACATATGTCATTTTTAAGATGTTAGTATTTGCTTCTTATGGAGAGGCTATTTGTCTGAGGTTTTTGAGCTTAAATATGTTTCTGTTTGTAACCCCTCAGCAAAGGGCAAAAGGAGCTTAAACTTGTGCGGGACAGTTAGGGTGCGATACAGGCTAGAAATAGTAAGACTTACCTCAGTGGTATTTTATTATTAGACTTTTATGTAAGTCATGAATAGTCCATAATGAACACCATGTTCAAACATGAGGGTGCAAATCGGCGTCCTTGGTAGCGGGACACCCAAGACTAGAGATTGATGATCAACTTTGTAATTGCATCGTCTGATCTTCCACCAAATGTCTTGGACACTCGGTTGAAGAGAGAGGCAGAGATGACCATTAATAGCTACCTGAATGGGGACCTAAAGCTGCATTTCAGCTTTAAGGGGATCACATTTCTCAGCCCCCTTTACATCTGGTCTCTGAAAACCTTTTATGTACATCTTTAAGGACAGGATTTCTAGGTGCAGCCAAGCCGGCTTGTTTTGGTTCCCGGTTGATTTTTGTCCCTGCTTTTTGTGGATGATGTATTTCTGCTGACTTCCTCCTTCCAAGACCTACAGCATGTACTGGGAATGAGAACCGGCTGGGATGAGAATCAGGTCCTCCAAGTCCTAGGCCATGATTCCCAAACAGAAAAAGGTGGCTTTTCTACTTCAGGTTGGAGGAGAGTTCCATCCTCAAGCAGAGGGGTTTATGTATTTTAGGGTCCTGTGAATGTGAGTGAGGGCAGAGCGGAGCAGGAGGTCATTACATGGATTGGTGTGGCTGTAGGTATAGTGCAGACACTACACTGGTCTGCTGAGGTAAATGCACATCCTATGTTCTTACCGTCACCTTTGGTCATTAAATTTAGATAATTTATCATCTGTCAAAAATGGGATAATGGGGGGTAGCAAGCTACAGGGGTGGTAAATGAGTTTTCTATTTAAAATGCACCCTGTGCTGATAGGATTTTCTTGATGGCAAATACATTTGTCCAGATTCTATGAAAGGAGAGCTGCACCATCAAAATGGATGCCATCTTTCTGAATCAAACCAGGTTTTCCTCAAACCCTTTCCTGGTTATCAACATAACCCACAGAGGTTTATGTCACCAATGGACAACCCGTCCAGAGATTGCTTTGGTGGAACACTTGCACACCATAGCAACTTAGTGACCTCAGGCAGTGTATGACATGTTGTTTATTTTTCACATTTTAAACAATTTTCTTTAAATTCCTTAAAGCTACAGTGTGTAACTTTTAGCGACATCTAGCGGTCAGACTGTAGACTGCAGCAACATGAACATCTCCCCCCCCACCGCTTCTCCCCCCCAATAGTACGGCGAGCGTTACGGGACAAAATGTCTTCCACGACGTCCGCATCACCTACCTTCTCAAGTGATGAGGTTTGTTTACATAGATAATTTTACAGATAGTATTTCATTAGTCTGTGTAGGGTATAGATTTCATGTAGACTTAAGATAATAAATATACCCGTTATTTTTTCTACATTGTTGTGACGTTTTGGCGATCTCGCAATCGCTAGTTTGTTGGCTCTGCGCTGCCGTAGCGCAAAGATGTCTGCCTCCATGGCTGCGAGAGCCGCTCCTATGTAATTATGAATAACGAATTCTAAGGCAACGCAAATATTAAGGTTAAGAGGCTGAGCTCATAGATGATGATAAAATAACATAGTTATGTATAATATATTACATTTCTGAATGTATATCCCTGTAATTATTACACACTGTAGCTTTATTACCTGTGGTCTAGTTTACAAGGATTTCTTTGTAATCAGATTTGTCTTAAAGGTTTTCTGTTAAGAAATATACTATCAGTTTGAATTTATTTAGTATCTATATTCTGTTCTAAATTCTGGTTATATAAACTCAATTTATGGAAATGTTCTCTGTGACTGATATTGACTAATTATATGGTAAATATTTAATTACACCTAACAAGTACTTGTCAACGTGAAAGGTGAGGTTAGTTGAGGACCCAAATGCTGAGCTGAGAGAGGCAGAGATTAGTTCTTGTAGGTTTACTGAAGTAACTGAGGCAAACATCCAAAAATACAAAAATACTGAGAACCAAAACCAGAAAACATCAGAGCAAACTCACGTGAGGAGCCAGAGATGAGGAAGCAACTAAACAACAAGGAACCAGCACTGAAGAACTGCACAGGGACACTATATATGGGAGACAGAACAAAAACTAGGTTAATCAACTGATACAGAGCAGGTGTGGACAGAAGAGACTAGAAGGGAGCTAGGGGAAAGAAGACAGGCACAAGGGGGGGAAGCAGAGAGTAATTAAAGACTGCTTAAATATAATAAAAAATGGGGGGGGAAAACAAAGATCAACAAAACAGGATTACTGATAACTGAAAACTAAAAACGCAAGGTCCCAAAAGGGGGATGGGTTTAAAGCATGCAGCACAAACACTTAACCAAATCAAAAATAACCCCACCAAGTGCACAGTTAAAGTTAATATTTGTTTCTATCAATTTACAGTAAATATAATTTTTATAATTTTCATATACCGTAATTCATATGACGTTGAACCTCATCTTATTTTATGGCTGCTCTTTTAACTGCCAGTAGAACATTAGATCTGCTTGTTTTCAAGGCTAGAAGTGAATTGGTTTTAACATCTTTACATTTTTTTCTTTGTAGATCATCCACAGCACACCTACTTATTGCATGTATAGAGAAAAAGAAAAAAAAGTAGTAAGTGCAGTTTAAGCCCCTTATATTTGGTATCTGAAAAGATCTGGCTGTATGTGTTTTGTGTGTTAACTGTATACAGAGATGATCTTCATTTAGGTATTCAAAGATTAACATCTCATTTCTCAGGTTGTCTGTGATAGAGGCTAAATATGAAATATTTTACAAGAATATGAAAAAAAAACTAAAAAGGAAAACATTGACAAACTAACAAGTATCTTCTTTATCATCTAAGTTACATGGCGTGCAATGGGTACCTACAGACACAAAGCAGAGCAGAACAGAGCAGTCATTAATGTCCTGGCATGAGACAGAGCAGAATGTTTGTTTGTTTTCTCTTAACCCCGGGTTAATGTCTATATCTCTCCGGATATCTGGGCCATGATTTTCTCGCAGTCCACTTTCTCTCTTCCACACTCCTGTTTCCCCTGTTTTTTTTTTCCTTGCTTTTTACTCCCATTTGAAATCCTGTTTTCACTGGCTCTGTCAAGAAAAGAGTATAGTCCTGATGTTATCACCCCATATGCAGTAGACATCCTCAGAAGATATTTTGGCAGACATTTTTGGGTGTGCATCTAACTGGGTCTGTTTTCAACATAACAGTTTGCTGTTTTAAGTTCTTGGTGTTATACAACACCAAAACTTTCCAAAATGTTCAGTTTACAAGAAAAAAAAAAGTCTACTCTCAATTGACCCTGTTAAACAGTCTAATAATGAACATTCAAGTTAAAAAAAATTACTGATTTGAATGGAATCTGATTATATTATTATTGTTATTATTATATTTGGCAAGGATTCTCCTTTGCAAATATAATATGCCATCTATACTGAATTATTGTAACATATTCTGGTTTGAGAGTGTATCCCTGAGACATGACAGATGATGTAAATTTAGGTGTGTGAGAGGAGACAATGTGCTATGCTATCTGAGCTGTTTTCTTATCTGAGAGATTTATAGCTGGTCACAGCATCTGGTCTTTGAGATTTTATCCACAGATGTTTTTTTCGAGGCACTGAGTGGCACACAGAGGGACATACAGATAACTTGGTTGGTGGATAAGCATATTTGGTAAGATAATTCCTAAGAACAAGGCAACAACATTATTACTCTGTTTTTTTAGAGATGCTGTCAGTCATGTTTGATCTACTGTGCCAGTAGATTCAGTATTAGTGAAGGATAACTTTCTTTGTTATGAAACTAAATTATATCCTCTCATTACTACATACATTTGCCTATTTAAACTTTCTACTGTTTAACTGTTCACTTTTCTTTTTCACTTTTATGTTTTAATACTATTTTTGTACTATTATTGGCCTCCGTATTTGAATTGTGTGTTTGGTTTATACTGTAACATATGATTTGTGTTTTAGATGTTGTATTCTTTTGGGCTTTATTTATTTATGGTATTCTATTTTTTTCCTTTAGGGTAAATTTCATAATTTCTTCTCAGTCTGTGTCCTTTAGTTGTTTGGAGCTCTTTTTTCTTTCCAAAAGTTGCCACTAGTAAATTTGTGTCATCTGGCCCTCGTTCAGTGAGCTGCCTGATAAAAAAAATGTACCTTTCAGTTTCGACAGATACACCTATACAGGTTAACCCTTTTGTAACACGTAATTCCAAATAGATAAACCAACTACCATGTCAATCCAAAGGTAAGCATGAGCTTGAGTATATAATAAACTCATCAATAAAGATAAAACAGTCCACCATAGTAACAGGATATAAATCCTTGAAGTCTCTCCAGTGGAGCTTCAAATATTATTGACAGCATATGGAGATGGTCAACAAATAATTTAATATAAAAAATTATACTGTGTCTGATGTTGCTGCAAAGAAAATACAATTTTAGCACGGCAGTGACCAAGTCAATGTTTCGACAGATACACTTCATTTTCGCTTTTGCTGCATGCATGTACAGTGTGAGGGATTGATGAAGAGTCAATGACAAAATGTAAGCAAAAATCATCACTACAAACTCATTCAGTTTGTAAGTCAATCACTGGATCCAATGAACTGATTTTCCTTGACAGAAGATTTTTAATGAATCTGACTGCATTGTCTCAGTAAAGTGCCTTGCAATTACATGTGTTTTGAATTGGTTCTTTATAACTTAATTTAATTGAATTGAATCAATAGTAATATTGTTAATAAATATTTTAAACTTCACATTTGTGTCTCAGAACTCTTGAGACCTCAGTCTATCTGGTTGTTACAGAATGTGTACACTGTGTTTTTTAAATCATTTCCAAAGCAAACTTGAGTCATCCTGGAAATTCAGTTTGCTTTTAGGGTTTTTTTGACAGTGTTGCACATGTCTTAACAAATGTTAATTACTACGGTAGTTGGTTTAAGTTTAAGTACCAACCACTGACTAATATTGTTTGGTACTTTATACTGTAAAATCCAATGCTAAAGCATTTATATTTAAAATCTATATCTGCACAACAGTGTATATTCAGAATATATTCATAGAAACTTTTAGGAGTCTAAACATTTTTTAGACTCAGCTATTAGGAGTTAAATATTGTATTACAAAGAAGATAAAGTAGATACCAATATGTCTCTTTATAGTATATTACCCAATAGTGAGATAAGTCAAAGAAAATAGAAGCTGCCCTCTGAGATCAGAAAAACATACTGTAGTAAGGTGGACCTGTGTCAGGAATCCAAGAATAATAATCTGGATTTGTGGAAGTTTCCTGGACCAAAGGTTGAAGCTCCACCAAATTGCTGTAAATCATTTAAAAGGCTTGGCTTGAATACCTTAAAGGACATGAAGGTTAACGAAAAGAAATCAAAGGCTGAGTCGGATTCTCATGAAGACTACTGGTCTCAGTTGGGGTTATTTCCTGGAGGTATGATGTTTGACCAAACTCTGAACCCTTACTGTTGAAAAATAACATCAGCTAATGCATTCAATTAAATGAAAGGTACGCATTTAAAGAAAGAGTACAACACATACTATTTAAAGTGAGGAAATTATCAAATGGTTTAATTCTAAAGGTTTTCTTAAAGGTTGAGAGACACACATATATTACACAATTTCTTTCATTTTCCTAGAGCAGTTCTTTTCATCAGGTATGTATTTATTTTGACAATGCCTTTTCTAACCAGATTTATGACAAACTCAAAACTGAAAAAGTTATTTTTAGAACATGGGTAAGTATACAGTTTAAGGCATAGATATGAACAAAAGCTTACTAAGGTTATTCCTACACAAACCCGAATTCATTATAAATAATAATTGAAATCCCATCTAAAAAAAAGTCTAAAAAAGCGAATTCATTAAAATATCAACCAATTCTTAACAGTATTTCCTTTATAAAAAAATGAGCTAAAAGTATTTATTTACTACCAATAACTTATACCATAAATAGTTGATTTCATTAAAGAAATAAGAAGCCAAACAGAAAAGTTATTTATGTGCCTAAAGAAAAAAATACTTTTCCTCTTTAAGACTCCTTTTTGACCTTTACCCTCTAGATCAGGCATCCCCAAAGTCGGTCCTTGATTGCTGCTGTCCTGCAGGTTTTAGAGGTTTCCCTGCTCCAGCACAGCTGATTTACATTGATAGTTGATTAACAGGCTTTTGCTGAACTGCAATCATCAGAATCAGCTGTGCTAAAGCAGAGAAACCTAATTTTCTATGTAAAATCTGCAGTAACTTGGATCAGCCTGGTAACTCTTGAGAACTGATTCATTTAATTCAATCAATCACATTTTTTCCACCGTTGCCCGCCATTGCTGACCCCACTTCACCAATCCGCTGTGACCTGAATTAATCAGGAACAGGTGCACCAAAATGGCCCCACAAACAACATTTATTCTTCCCCCTCATTTTATTATTAGAGAACAGGAAAAAAATGAGTTAAAAAATTAAAGTCCTGGAAATTCTCAAATAACGTTAGGGTAGGTTAAAATACGAAAAAATAAACACCACTATGAAATAAGAAAAATAAATAAATAAATCTTGAAATAAATATAGAAAAAAATTACTAAGTAAATATTTTATTTGTTATATTTTTTGGGGTCAATTTCATAGGGACAGATTTGATTTTTTAAATGGATATTTATTAATACAATTTTTTTATTCAATTTGAAATTAAATGGTTTGCCGTGGGTAATGTACAAGCCTCATTCTCAAAACAATGCTTTTGAAAGAATGATGGATATGACATTCAAATTTATTAACGAGCAAATGTTTAAACACATGTTTTGCTTGAGCAGGTTCATGATGCTAGTAAATTTTAACTATCTATGTTTTTTTTTTTTCTTGTGCAATATCTCTTAGTGTTGGATTGCAGTGTCATTATTAAGGAGCATCAGAAAAGCACTAGGTTGTCATTAAGAACAGAAGTTGCTCAACTATTAGCTTTAAGAGGATAAGTCTGACAACCTCAAATAGAGTTAAATAGAAGAGAAATGCAGAACACTG